GGCTTTTCTCCCATGGGCTTTACTCCATTCCTGTCATCATGGTCAACTCTACTTTGAGGAGGCAGCTCTTCCCCAGTTGCATTTTGAGTGCCTTCCAACCTGAGGGGCTCATTTCCTGGCACTGTATCTGACAGTGTTTCTCTACTATTCATAAGGTTTTCAGTGACTAAATATTCGGAAGTAGTTCGTCACTCTTCTACCTCACCAGAATAAAAAAAAGTCATCAAATTGGCTACATCTGTGGGAAAAAATGATGGAGACGCTAAATATCATCAACTGAAACAAGACCAGGGAACAGACCATTAAATGCTCATATGCAAGTTCATGATGAAGCTGAAGAAAATTAAAACAAGTCCACAAGAGCCAAAATATGAGCTTTAGTGTATCCCACCTCAAGTTCCATCTCAAGAACAGATTTGATGCATTAGACACTAATGATCAGTGATCAGATGAGTTATGGGAAGACTTCAAGAATATCATACATAAAGAAAGCAAAAGGTCATTAAAAAAACAAGAATCAAAACACCAAAATGCATGTTAGAAGAGACTCTGAAACTTCCTCTCCAGCATAGAGAACCTAAAGCGAATAGAAAAAACAATGAAGTCCAAGAGCTAAACAGAAAATTTCAAAGGGCAATTTGAGAAGACAAAGTCAAGTATTATAGTGAAAAATGCAAAGATCTGGAATTAGAAAACCAAGTCTGTCTTCCGGAGTTCTTTGGTGGGTTTGAACAGCCAACCTTTTTGTTAGTAGTTGAGTGCTTATTCATTTTTGCCACCTCGAGGCTCCTCAACCCAGACTCTACTATTTAGTATTCCTGTGCTTTAAGCCTCAGTTGAGAAACCCTGGTACTGTGGTGAATTACCCATGGGGCTGTTGACCTTAAGGTCGTTGGTTCAAACCTACCAGCTTCTCCTTTGGAGAAAGATGAGATTGTCTACTTCCGGAAAGACTTACAACCTTGGGTATCCAGAGGAAGAGTGGATTGACTTATACAGTGGTTTTTTGTTTTTGTTGCTTTTTCTTGACTGAGGTGACATTCACATAACATAAAATCAGCCTTTTGAAAATGAGCAATTCAGTGGCACTTAGTACATGCACAAGGTTATGGTTTGCAACTACCCACTTCTATCTAGTTTTAAACTGTTTTCATCACACCAAAAGGAAATCCCATACCCATTAAGTGGTGACTCCCCTTTTACCTCCTCCCCACAATACCTGGCAACCCCTTTTCCTAAATATTTCATGTAAGTGAAATTATACAATATGTGACATTTTCTTTGGCTTCTTTCATACAATATAATGTTGTTGAGGTTTATCCATGTTGTAGCATGCATCAGTACTTCATTACTTTTTATGGCTGAATATTTCATTGTAAGTACGTGTTGTTAAGTGCTGTCAAGTCAGGTCGGACTCAGAGCAACCCTGTATAGGCTTTCTGAGAAGCAACTGGTAAGCTTGAATTGCCAACCTTGCAGTTCAAACCAATCTTGCAGTCCAGCGCATTAACCCGCAGTACCACACCAGTGCATGTATCTACCACAATTTACTAATTTCCTCATCTGTTGATGGACTTTTGGGCTGTTTCCACTTTTTGGCTGTCGCCGATAATGCTGCTATGAACAAATGTGTATGTGTGTTTATTGGAGTGTAAGTTTTCTGATCTTTGGGTTAAGAAACATGATTTTAATGCAGAAAAATCACAATGGATAAAAACAAAAAATGGGGGAGGGGCAGTGGAGATTAAGGACAATGTGATCATTAGTTTGATTATTTTGCTTATTGATGAAAGATAATTCATACTTCTAAACTCTTAAAGGTTTCCTTTTTTTTTTTTCCATGGAGACTGAATTTATTGGGGGGCACAGGCCATCACGAATGCAGGGCCCTCCACTTGTCCAAGGGGCCAGGGTTAGGGATGTATTTGACCCCACAGCCATCTGGGATAAGGCACTTCTCAGCCACCATGTCTTCAAACTCATCAGCATTGAACTTGTAAAGCCCCACTTCTTGGAGATGGGGATCTTCTGACACCCAGGAAACTTGAACTTGGCCCTGCGTAGGGCCTCAGTCACATGCTCCTTGTTTTGAAGCTTGGTGCGGATGGACATGATGACTTGGCCAATATGGACCCTAGCCACAGTGCCCTGGGGCTTTCCAGAGGCCCCTTGCATCCCTGTCTGGAGCCTGTCAGACCCAGCACAGGACAACATCTTGTTGAGGCGGATGACATGGAACGGATGCAGCCACACTCGGATGTGAAAGTCATGTTTGCCCCAGCTTTTCACCATGTACTTGTATTTCACCAAATACGGGCTTCTGAGGAGAGCTGCTCATATTCACCTGATACCATGCGGCCGCAGAATGGGAATTCATCCACTTTTGCCTTCTCCCCACCCAAGTCAAAGACACAAATCTTGGCATCAGGGACACCTTGGCAGAAATGGGACTTGGGATAGGGCTTGTTCTTGTTAATTGTTATGTGCCATGGAGTCAGTTCCAACTCATAGTGACCATATACAGGGTTTCCGAGGCTGTGAATGTTTACGGGAGCAGAGAGCCTCGTCTTTCTCTCGTGGAACAGCTGGTAGTTTCGAACTGCTGACCTTGAGTTTCACAGCCCTATTCGTAACCACTATACTTGTTCTTATAATACCGGTAACACCAGGTGGGGCAACAGCCCATGGCAACACCAGGATCTTTGTGGCACACTGGAGGGAAAAAGCTTAAAGGTTTCCTTTTTAAAGACACCTTGCTAACACCTCCTTACACCTCAACTCTTTTACATACAAAACTGAAATCATGTGGCAGGAAAAGATTTTGGAAGCAATCAAAATTTTAAACTGTATTGTTTCTTTTCCTTGTTCCCAAAGTTCCAGATGCATAATACTCATAATCTTTAATTAATGCTTCACCAAAAAATAATCCTTCATTTTGTCTGGCAAAGGCAGTTTTTGAAGTAAGTCTATTCTGGCATATTGACCTATGAATCAGTATTTAAAAATGGCACAGATGTAACAACACATCTGCAGCAACCTTGATATTGGACTAATCAATTTCACAGGGAAAGTTGTAGAGTCAGACAAAAAAGACTTTGAATAGTAAAAATCTCCATTTTCAAAGTTCAATTATATCAACTATCGAAGTATGGCCTTCTGCAATTGGTTGTTCAAAATAAGCTAAAACTCCCATGTGAGTCCATCACTTGTCTGGCAGTTTGTCACACTGTGGTGGCTTGCATGTGGCTGTGATTTTGGAAGCTGTGCCAAGGATATTATAAATACCAGCAGCATGGTAGATAGGTTTCAGCTGAGCTTCCAGATGAAGACAGACTAGAAAGAAGGAGTGATGGACTATTTCCAAATATTAAGTCACTGAAAACCTTATCAATAGCAGTGGAACTGTAGCAACATCAGAATATTGAATATTAAAACATGATGAAGAGGAGCCATTCTGGATCAGGCAGAACAGAGGACAGAGCTGATGGAAAGAACGTTGGCATGGAGAAGAAGACTTGGTGGACAGTGCCTTGAAACTTTCTGTCTCCATTGGTGTTTTACATAGATGAGGTGCTGGAGGAGCGCATCTTCGGTTCCTCTGATGCAGATCTTCGGTGTCTAGAGGAGCACAGCCACACCCTTATTCAGCTGGAGTGGTGGTTCACTGTGTCGGGTCTAATGCGCATCATGGTAATCGGGCCCACTCGGGCAAGGCAAAGGCTTCTGCTGAGAGTCCTGTGAGTGGGGCACTGGCACTTTGAATTTAGAGCTCAAGGCCTTGAGAAGCTGAAATGTTTCTGGAGTCAGCTCCAGACTGAAGCCAGCATGAACTCATTTTCCATCCTACAGCTTCACTACCTAGTGGGTAAAGCTGCCTCTCTAGTGGGAACTGAAGGCATCCCACTGTTATATGAGTGTTTTTCCCAAGCCTCCTAAGGAGCCAATAAAGTAAACTAATGTTTATTTGCCTTTAAAAAAAAAAAAGAAAGAAAGAAAGAAAAAACATGATGAAGAGCACCAGACTACTGTCAGATATAGAGCTGGAAGCTGAGCCCCTCAGGTTGGAAGGCACTCAAAATACAACTGGGGGAAGAGCTGCCTCCTCAAAGTAGAGTTGACCGTGATGACGTGAGTGGAGGAAAGCTCTCGGGACCTTCATCTGCTGATGGGGCACAACTCAAAATGAAGAGAAACAGCTGGAAACCTCCATTAATAATTGGAACATAGAATGTATGCAGTATGAATCTAGGAAAATTGGAAATTGTCAAAAATGAAATGGAATGCATAAACAT